CACAAATAAACTGCATCTCTACCTTAAGTGGATCATTCTTTGTCTCAACTAAAACTCTTACACTACCCTGAAAGAATAAAACAATATGTTAAAATCAGCAGATTATTTAAAAAAAAGCACCATTCATGTACATATGCTCCAAGATTGACCATTTACATATCTGATGGGGTGGGGTGGGAAACAAACCTGTAGAGACAAATTTGAGAAACTATTAATTCTAAAAATGATAGGAAACAAATGCATAAAAGTTTATCCACCATAACCCCTCCAATTTTTAGTGGACAACCAATTTAAATTAAAAATTTAATATTCTATAAAGGGTACATGCGAAGGCAATAACTACAAAGCTGATTTAAGCACTGCACTTTCATAGCCATGATTATAATCACCATGACCATATATATCTCATGCCAAATACTAGGAGTGTACCTCGAGTATTATTTTTATATCCTGTATTTAAATGTCCAGATTGAAATCGATGTGTATATGCAACTCTTAAAAATCCATGCATTAAAGGAATTTGGTAAACATTTTTGTGCAAAATACAAGTACTGTGGAATACTTTATTTTCGCTTGGAATTAATTTTCGCTATTTTCGCTAAAGGAATGATTCAGTGAAAATAAAATCCAGCGAATATACCTGTTTTCCTATCTTTTACATTCAACTCGCCAAAAATCAGTGAAAATAAATTCCATATAACACACCTAAAAAGTCTTTTCAGCGAAAATAAATTCCAGTGAAAATAAAGTATTTTACAGTAACTATGTACTACCATCACCATATTAGTAATTGTACTATACCTGCATGAAATAGATTCATGGATAACAAAAATAATCAAGATCGACACACATACAGATAAATTCAGAGTGGATTCGAGTTAGCTTGATCCATGGCGTGATTGTCATAATTATAACATCGTATTAAAACTTTATTTGATGAAAACACATTGACCAAGCCTGGATTCTTATTTCATAAATTATTACGCAGATCAAGCTGCAAGCATGGAGGTAAAAAAGAGCAGAGGTGTGAATTCGACATTCAACACCAATCACCAAACAATTCAGAAACTTTTAGCCTTCGAAATTGAAAACAATTAGCAGTGTGTAAAGGGCTGTGTAATTTCCTGTTTGTCCGACACTTCGTTTTCGTGTCACTGTCAAAATTATTGCTACTCTTTACTTAAAGGGGAGCGGAGGTGTGGCTTTTGACACTCTGTACATGGAATTTGAGATCTATGAAAGAATTCTGTCGATAAAAACAACTTATATGTGCTGCGAAATGCCCTAAATATCGGGTATAAAACGGGCTGTGAAGCAGACGACAAACGCCCGCTTTGCCTGGCGTCATTTTGCCTCTAGAGGGCCAGTCAGATGATGTCATCAGTGAACACTGATAATTGAACCCATTCATGCTAGTACGTTAATCCCATAGAAATGCTACTATGAAAGACCTTGTTAACTGACAACTTAAAAGTTGAAACATGGAGAGGTGTTGTGTTATGAATGCCATAACGATTCATAATATGTTTCTCGAAATCCCAGATAAAAAATCACGTTGTTGGTTGCGAGAAATCGGCAGAAGAACTAACCTGCAAATGAAGACTCGTACAGCGCTCTAGCTATAGTAAACCTCAGACTAGTAATATTGTATTACTAGTCTGAGAGTAAACATAGCTGCGGTTCCGTAGCTCTTTGGTGCGACCTACAATCAAATTTCGCCCTAACAATTTCACTTGGACGTCTTCTTTTTAATTTTGTTGTTGTACGTCGAACCATGGAACTATAAACCCCAGGAAGAACAACGAAACTAAGAGGATTAAAAAAACCTTTGTCTTAGTTTATCTTACAGTGCTTTCGCTTTTGTTTCCACAACATTAGTCATACTCCATGTTAGTTGCCGCCGATACGCCCGTATCAACCGCTTTGCTGGAAATGAAAAACTTGAAAAAAAAATTTCATATCTGCGAATGCCACCACGTCTTTACACTGTCATAAAATCAAAGTACATGTATAAGAATAGGACGTCCTGCTAGCCTGTTCGCTTCGAAAATTGGAATTGAGATTTCTCTGCAAGTTTCGTAAAATGGTGGCTGAAACTTTCTAGAAATGAAATTGAACTTGAACTTCACTGATCGCGACATATTACACAGCATAACTTGGTGATTTTGTTTAGAAAACGAGTAAAATACTTACCGTCGCTAACACTGCTTTTGGAGGCAGCCATGTTGTGTACGCCCTCAACATCAAAATATGTTCAAAGCTTGAGTTCCTGCAGCTAAGCTTTTCCTGACCAAGCTATGCTGCACGGTGTCAAAGCTGTGATTTTCATTAAAAAGCCACACTTTCATTGGTACCCCTGAATCGGATCATGAAAAAAATGCATGTGCATATGTCCCATATAATGTGTGATGTATGAGTGAAGTTTGAACTTAATCGGTCCATGCATGTTCGAGATACAGGTGATCACGGATGCACGGACGCACATAGGGCAAAACATAAGTCCCCGTTTTCGGACTACGTACTATGCTAATTAGAGAATTAATATGAACTAATTTTAACCCAAAATTAATCAGGCCTGTCTATTGTCCTAGAGCATTTACGTACCAAATTTTATTCAAATGTGATGATCAGTAATTGAGATATCAGTGTTAATTAATTATATTAATTAGGTGATTAATAAGCATAAATATTTACCAAAAACTAATTGGGTTTCTGCATAGTTCTCTTTAAAAGTTTCATTAAAATCCAATTTGTGGTCCTTTATATATCAGTGGATTATGCAAATTAGGTAATTAATATCCAATTAAAACTAATCAGGTCTCTGCATAATCCTAGAAGATCTATGTAGCAAGTCTCATTGAAATGATTACTACTTGAAATATCAAAAGCTGAAAATTAATTAATTATGCTAATTAGGTAATTAATATGTACTCGCATTACCCTAAAAACTATCAGGTCTGTGCAGTGTCCTATGACATCTATGTACCAAGTGTCATTGAAATGTGATGATTACTACTTGAAATATCAAAAGCTGAAATTTAATTAATTATGCAAATTAGGTAATTAATATGTACTCATATTACCCTAAAAACTACCAGGTCTGTGCAGTGTCCTATGACATCTATGTACCAAATTTCATTGAAATGTGATGATTAGTACCTGAGATATCAGTGGAAAAGCTGAAAATTGATTAATCATTATGCAAATTAGGTAATTAATATTGGACAGATTTTCACCCAAAACTATCTCTGTGCCAAGTTTCATCAAAATCCAATGAGTGGTTCTTCAGATATCAGTGGAACAGTCATGGAACAGCTAAAAATCAGCTAATTATCATGCAAATTAGGTAATTAATATGCATGGATTTTTACCAAAACCTAATCAAATCTGTGCATTGGCCCAGAGCATCTATGCACCAAGTTTCATCAAAAACTGATGTATGGTTCTTGAGATATCAGTGGAACAGGCGGACACATACACACACACACATATACAGACACACGAACTGCAAAGACTCCCTTTTTGTGCTTCGCACACGGGAGTCAAAAACTGAAATGTGTATTCTAAAGGCAGTGAGGAACAGCCATGTAATACATTATTCTTCTGTGCAACTCAAGCTCAGGACTAATAGCGATGAGTGTCCTGACTCTGATTGAGATAGGCTAAGAAGTCACCAGTAAAACTTGTTTCATGATGGTAATTGATAAATACAGATTTTCTCTTTTTGTCAGGTTTATATGCAATCTATTATTTTTGTGAATTCTTTCCCCAACGAATCCTAGTTGAGCCGAACACTGACAAATTTGACACATGTTGAGGATGGAACAGGTCCAAGAAACGAACCCAAACAAGTTAATTTTCAACTTGTTTTTGAATGTACCAAGAGCATTCGTCCAAAAGCAGTAAATGATACAGACAAGGCAGGAAGGAAATGTTGTACAAGTATATTGAGTGTGTGTTTCTAAAGAATTACAAACATGCAATTTCTAAGTTCACCTAATATCCTTTATTAGGTTCCATAACAGAAAATACTGTACATTAATTTGATTAGTAAACTAATCACAAGGTAAATCACCTCTTTTGCAACCTTCATATATACGGGTAACACTGGATTCTTAAACAAGCATGGAAACAATCAAATAACTTGCTTGGTATGGGTCAACTGTTCAATAATTTTAAATATGACAAACAACAGAAATACAGTTTAAACATTGGTCGTGGTGTCTTCTGCTTTTTCTAATGATTTGATTTTTCTGTCCCACACTCCTCGACCATCTGAAAACCCTTGCTTCGATTTACCGAAGGAATTAGGTCCAGCTGAAGTTGGAGTCTCCCTGAAAATTTGAAAAAATATCAATATTAATTAAACGGTAATGTAAAGTGCACATAAATAGCGTAAGTCAACTGATAAATGCAATGAAACCAAATAGTTTATCTACCTTCCTATGTTCTTCATTCTCATCTTGGCTTCAGGGGGCATCTCTTCTACATCCTGTGTGGATACAAAATATTAACAATACTAACAACCATAATGTCAAGAACATGCAACATTGACATTTGTAGTCTATGTAAAATATGTATATCAGTGTAACAGCATCTTGAATTTTCAAGGTGAATGTTCCGGCGAAGCACTCCGCTATCACCTTGAAGTATTTCATTAGGACTATGTGTATGTGACAATGCCTTCACAGTTTAGAATCAGTTTACCAACAGCCAATCATATTGCTTCTTTGTTTAACATGCTTGGCCAAGCTATCAAAATCTTCGAGGCAGAGCTAAGCCACAAACACCAGTCGAAAAAGCCGATGAAAATAGCTAAAATCGAGAAAATAAACCAAACTTAACTTTAAAGTAATCCTAAACAACCAAATTTAATTATGTTGCATATGTAGAGGTAATCTTGTTACACTGTTCAGGGGGGTGTTAACCATTCCAAAATACCGTTTTTCTGAGAATTTATTGGCCTTTGTTTTCACCATGATGGTTGCCAGACGGTGAAAATGCCTGACCCGTGAATAAATGTTGCTGTGCACAGTGGAAGCTGTGTTGGCTTGGATGTCGAGGCAATACAGCGACAATATCCATACATCATGCAACTCACTGGTATTCAAACCAAAGCTATTCAAGCCGAGTCTGATGTGTTTGTTTTTAGTCGCACTGGAAATAGTAAATCCTTGTTGTTATGCTTTACCGGCCTTGCGACCATCGAGAGTGATAATAGTGTTGTCAGAAGAGTCGGTGTTATGCCTCAAAGCTCAAGACTTTCTATCGCGCAACCATGTGACATACACAGTTATGAATAGAATTACCGCACAGTGTTGTAGGGGGACGATGGTGTAACAGCTGAAAATTGTCTATTATGAAAATTGCTAACTTTTAAATATGGAAGGACTTAAACCTCAAGCAAAGAAGAAAGTTAGGGGATTATTCAAGCACCTATATGTACAAAGTTAAGGGGTTTTTGAGATATCAGTTAAACAGCTGAACATTGGCTATCATAAAATATCATTAGTTACATTTAATTAAATCTGATGAGTGTTTCCTGAGATATTGGTGTAACATCCAGGAGTTAATAACAAATAACAGTAAATACCCGGTAGTCCTAACAAATAATTGTAAACTTGTATAGAGTAAAGCACAGAAATAACACTGAAAACACAACAGGTTAAATACTACTGTATTTATCCATTACAAAGTCTATCCAAAACCATGCCAAAATCAGTGCCAAAAGATCCTGCTTTTGTGTTGTATTGTCTTTACCTTCCAACGCTATTCAAAAATTTGTTAATACGTTCTGCTGGCACCATATAGTGTTCTGAATGGTTAACAACCAGCTTGATCTATCAAGTTGAATGACACAGTTTCAGGTCAACTCATGCAAGGAACAAACCAAGCAGATATCATTTGCATTGAAATTTGCTAGTAATGAAAATAAGTTGAACCAACAAAACCAACAAACTGTTTTTTTTTTTGTATGCTGCTTTTAATCACGACTGAGTACTAATCATTTTAAAAACACAAGTAAGGTATTAATAACCTGCAACCCCTGTCATGATAATAATGGATTTAAATAGAGATAAATAAAATGCAGCAAAAGCAATCACTCGCCGAATAATTGACTCATCCTTTAAAACAGTCAGAAAAGCACAATAGACTAATTCCCCAGTTAAAAATAGAGAAAACTTTTGAAGCTTTCTTGTGTTTTAGACATACCGTACTCGACCACGTTAGCGCCCAGGGACCTCAACTCAAAATTAGTTGAGTCGTACTTGACTCAAATGATCACAAAAAATATGCACATTTTATTACAATATTAATTAAGTACCACCAGAATTTACGAAATTAAAAACATTTGAGTCTGTTCAGTGTTGGAACACAGTCAAAGTCAAAATTGTCATATTATTTCCACTGACGAAGGTGTTGGTGTCGTACGCAAACTCTCGAGGAAAATCGCTTTCCGCCATGATGCATTTGCAGATTTTACCTGCAGCAGTGTCCTTTGACCTAATGGGTCAAGTTGGTTATTAACCAATCAGAATGCTGTGTTGTACTGATGCAATTCTTTGGAAATTCCCGAAGACTTTCCGGTAACGCAATGCGGAAGTGAATAATCGATGTCGAAGTACGATCTGTTGGAATTGATTTCAGCGAATAAACGACATGGTTTTTCCAAAAAAAGTAACTAGCCATTTTTGAGAGATAAACTGAATATGGTATGAAATATATACCGCATCTTACTTGTATTAACAGGTCATTGTTGAAGCGTAGTTTACGCACGGTTACCGTGGTCTACGCATTCACAACATGTTCACAGCGGCCGATATCCACGCTGTATCATAAAAACGATTACCAAGATTTGTTACGCAAGACCAAGTTTTAAATTAGTTGCATTTTGAAGGGGTGGGCGCTTTGCCGAGTGTCACCCCAAATATAAAAATTGCGCAAAAGTGGGGGGTAGGCGCTTGCCCGGGCATGGGTGCTGACGCGGCCGAGTACGGTAATATACGTCTTTGAAGTCATGCGTATGTAAACAGCATACTAAAAAATATTGACGTCAGCGTACATTGTTGTGATACTCCATGTTCACATAAAATGTATAGATGAACTAGTCTTATTGGTATGTATACTTACTTCATCACTATCTTCACCGAATACATTGGCTACTACACCCTTTTTATGTATAAGCTTTGTATTATGTTCTTTAGGCTTCTGCAATTTACAAATCATGATAACAAAGAGTGAGAATCAATTTTATGAGATAAACAAATTCTTTATTAATTTTATAATAATAATATAATAATAACAGTATGTATTTTTATTGCATCTTTATATATACAAATTTCTACTAGTGGTTGGCAAATAAAGACAGAGAAAAATAGGTGTAAAATATTGACAACATAAACATAAATATATATGAAAATTACATTTGCATCATACATACATGTGAACCTATCTTCATAGTTATTGGAGTAAGCCCTCTTGATGTTGCTGTTTTATCAGATTGTAAATTCTGTTTTATCGAACCAGCCCCCAGCTTCATTGAAATGCTAGTCTTCGTCGAGGACACCAGCGTCCTCGTAGGAAAATCTTTCTTTGATTTTTTCGTCTGCTGATGATCCGGCGAAGCATTCCGCTTCTCCCTCGAATGGAAATCTTCTTTGTTGTGTCTGTTCGTTACGGCATCTGCTGGGGGAGTTCAAATAACTGGAGAAGATGAGATACATGCAAATGCCGAGAATAAATGTGATGAGTTCCCAGGCGAAGTCCCTCAGCGGTGGGCTGATGATAGAGTCTAGCATATTTGGAAAATAAGTTTGTCCACAAAAATATATATTGACAAGAAAGCAAGAAAGTCACCGAGAATTCAAGTATTTACACGGATCAAATGGAGGCGAAGAGAAGATATTTCAAGCTGAAACTAAAAACAACAACCTTCACGACTGATCCGATGGACGGCAGGTTCCACTTTTTCCGCCATCTTTGAATTTGCAGTCCTCTTTCAAGTATCCTGGTATCGCTAGACATGTAGTATCTGTTTGCGATGGGCACATAGCTAAAAATACACTCAGGTACAATAAACTTCGTATTCTAATAAGGAATAACACAAGTTTAATTTCTCAAAATAAAAACCAACAGCTAACATCAGTATGAAATAATTACCTTGAACGAGGTTAAATAAGCCTCGCATTGGTTCGCATAACACAACAGTTCTGTTTGGCGATTACGTAAAACTTTGTTATGTTCTGTAACATGTTTCCAGGAATAACACAATTGTTATATAGACGCCGCGGATCTATATTGAAAATTACAGGTAATTGTATGTAAGGTTGATATTTAAAGTGCCTTGAGCTGAATTAAAAGACAATAATGCGGCATAGACAGTTAGCGTCCGTTAAAACGTAATTGGTATAAGTTAATACAGTTTGGATGTCATCGATGGGTCAATCCATAGACCCTCCAGTACTGGAGGGTCTATGGTCAATCCCAGGGTATTTATATGTGGCTGTTTTCTATGTCAGAAATGTAAACCATTTATAATGAATTTAGGATTGTAGGCGATGACGATAATGATTTTTCTTACGCAACAGGAACCCAAGAATGAACATGTAGCCATGGCAGCATACATGAATCCAAAGTTAATTAGCAGAGATCCGCCTCTTTCCGTTGTTGGTGGCAATGCTGTTAAACCTCGACCAAGGACAACCAGACCTGGCACAGCACTGTATGGGGACCATGTTCACAATGACAGGTAAACAACTCGAATTTGTTCTTATCCTATATATTAAAGCTGATAATCTTGTTTAATTTCTTTTTAATTCCTATTAAGTATATATGCAGAAAGCACTAGATTTCTTACACAGCTACACAACTCACTGGGGTCTACAAGTGAACACCAAAAAGACACAAATAGTCATTTTCAGAAAAATTGGAAGCAGAGCAGAATCCCTACAGATCAAATATAATCAGGAAGAAATAAAAATCAAAGAACAATATACCTACTTAGGCCTCACTTTCCAATCAAATGAAAGTATATAAACAACATCAAGCAGACAAGGCAAACAAGGCACTACGAGTGCAATCACAAATATACTCAAATAATACATACAATATACACATCAAACTGAAGCTCTTGAACACAACGCAGATCCCAATATTAACATATGCGGGGTGTCTTGACAAATCCATCTATCTGGGATAAAACAGACAGAGAGAAATTTCAAATTCTGTAGAAACGCTCTCTGTTTGAATAACAAAGCAAATAAAATAGCATGCCGTATGGAGTTAGGGAGGGAACCACTCATAAACAACATATACAGAGCAGCAATTAAATACTACCAACATCTACAATGAATTGAAAATACAAATCTGAAATACTATGCACTACAGGATATGAAAAAAAAAAATATACGGGAGCCTGGTTGTCAAAGCTACAACAAAATCTTGAAATCTTTAATATACATAAATGTATAGACAATATCCCTGTAAAAACTCTACAAACTAAAATAAAAGAATATTACAGTGCATTGTGGAAGAAAGATAATATGAGAGACGATGCAAAGTTACGGACTTATCACACATATATAGACAATTTCAACATGGAACAATACATTACACTTATAAATAGTCGAGATCATATAAGAAAATTAGCCAAATTTAGAACAAGTAATCATAGATTAGCAATAGAAACAGGTCGCTATATGAGACCTAAGACACCAATGGAAGAGAGACTATGCACACATTGTAACCAAATAGAAGATAAAATACACCATCTAATAGATTGTAATTTATACACAGAATATAGAAACACTTTGTACAATGCCATAGGATTAATCAACCAAGACTTCAGAAACAAAAACGAAAGAGAAAAATTTGACTATATAATGCAATCAAGAGACAAGACATATATGCTCTAACTAAATATTTGTTTCAATGTAAAAACACAAACACTGACTAACAATGTCAAAATTTATTATCAACGTATGTGTGAAAGGACTAATTTCACAATCAAAATACTAGTAGTATAGTCTAATGTTGCTATTTTTATTATATATTTTTTACTTAATACATTACTATGTTTTCAATTCACTTTTAAATTTTTCATTTCAATTTTTTCAACTTCATTGATGTACATAACCAAAAAAGAAATGTAATATTTTCTTTATGGTCAATAAAGCACTATTCTATTCTATTCTATTTTATAGTATAGTAGATCTGGCAGAAAGTACAAAAAACAATTATTTGAAAAAAAAAGTATATAGTAATATTAATATCTTTATTACACTGTAATGAATAATGACAGTTCATCTCAAGTTGAAGTACTATGTATACTAAATGAAGTTGTTAAATAATGAACTACCTGTCTGATCAGGTGTATGTCTTGAGTGTTCATTGTTGTTATAAATTTGTTTGTTTTAGAACAGTATTGAAAGTCTAGAATTTGTTTTGAGAGATGGCTGTACATTTTTGTGTGTTCATTGTTGTAATTGTCACAGGTTGTAATAAAATGAATTTCATCTATTACAACATTGCACTTTTTGCATAGTCTATCTTCCTTAGGTATTTTAGGTTGCTAGTGGCGTCCTATATATAAATAAATAAAAATTGACTGGCTATTTGGTCACATTTTATTTTATGTCACAATATATCATAGCTTAAGATCCCTTATCGAATGAATATGGTTCAACAATCGTTGCCATCGGATACATTTCATTTGGATATATTCATCTTAAACAACCTGTGTGATGCCTAAATGTGATTTTGAGATCGCAAAGTGAATTCTAACATGCAACAGAAAGCGTGTACAGTCTTCAAATTAATTTAAATAGACAAAGTCGGGGTCAAGAATGAAAATTTGTGATTTCAGTGTTTCATAATAACCTCGTTAAAGGTTATTAGCATATTATGCAGTGCGCATACTTCATATCCACAACCAGTGCATCATCACAGTGAGGTCAATTGCAATTTACGTTTTGTGTAAGTGATGTTCAGCACCGTCAATGAGGTTTATCAATCAAACCACATTGATGGTGCTGAAAGTTGTGTTCGTATATTCAAAGCCAACACTTAAGCAACTCTACCAGATATATACACAAGCTAACAAGCCACACCAACCCAGCCACTGCTCAGATAGGAAAAGATTTGTACACACTCCCACCATGTCTTAATCTGTAATATTCAATAACAAATCTGGTTCCTCCATAACACTGGATGTACATTATCACATGTAATACTGCAATATAAAATGTTCTGTGTTGTAGATCTGCTGAGAGTGATGACATTGCTGCCTTATTATCTCGATTACAGTCTACAAATCTGAGAGGAGACCAACAACCCAAGTCAACTAAACACTTAATGAATATCAAATGTTCCTGTGGTGATCTGTCAAACCTCACATTAAAACTTGAAGACATTTCTGAAAGTGACAGTGACTCAGACCAGTGTGAATTCTCATTTTCTCAACTCTTATCAACTTTAATTGCATACAACAAAAAGGATTTCAAGAAATTATCGGTTCCAGTTAAGAATTTGATATCAAGTTACAATGAGAATGAGATTATTACACATGAACAACTCAAACAGGTTTGTATCTGAACCACTATAAGTTTCAGTATTTTGTTTTTCTTATGGTACATTGCTTTCAAACCTGCCATGTATCAAAATTGTGCAGAATGATCTGCTTAAATATGTGTCATATTAGTAACATACTACAAATAATAAGTTGAAGTTGTTGATGACAATGATAGTCATATATAAGTTTGTATGAAAAGGCAAAGTCATTTGAACATTATCATACATGGTACAAGAAATTGCATTACTTTAATTTCTTTTTTCCATATACCCAATTTTGGAGAAGAACTCTCATATTAATACAAATTGAGGTCCATTTCTACACAAAATAAATTGTCGATTTCTCTACAAAGATGCTAAAAAATGTTTGCATGGTACATTTTCATGGTTCATTTGAGCAGGGATTATCTTCTGATAGACAATATTACCATGTGTTTTGTTTACAGATTTTCCAATATAAATTTTTCATAAGAATGCCACTACATCTTTACTGTTTTTTGAGTTTGACATTACTAATTCAAACTTGTGTACAAAGACCAATCAAATTGCAGACGGTGTATCTTGGCTTTATCACATGGCATTTACATGTAAAAACAACTTTAGATATACCGCTGTAATCTGTATTCATGATATTTATTTTACTAGTTATTGGATTTGCTCAATAATGGCAGCATTCCAGTTAAAGAAGCTGTTGCCATAGTAATACAACGAATATCATGCCATGAGACAAATGCTGAGAATTTAATTGAGAGGAATTTTGTATACCATTTAGTGAAATTGTTAGAAAGACCAGAAACAACATTACAAGCCTATTCTACTTGCATTACAAAAGGTAGGTTATTTCACTTACTTGTCACAGCCACTCACCTATCTTGACATTGAACTTGAGTGAAAACATGTCTGTGATGCTACTCTAGCTATGGTAGTGTGCAACACCTCCAGATTCCTACCTTTTTAAAACACCTTTCACAATATTTTGCAACAATAAATGTATATGCTTTGTTGTAAACTAGATTCCCAAATAGCAAATTAATTCCAACTCGACCTACTGAATATAGAACCTTTCTGAGACTCAGGACTGTAAAAGTAGACAATTTTCCTATTTACCACGTTCTCTGGTCAGTTTCAAGACAAGTTGAATTTGAATGACATCAATGTACATACACTATATCACAGTTTGCTATGTTGGATTACTGCACACATCCAGAAAGAAGATGTCATTGTCATTGGGTGTCAGCCAATGGGCATGGGTCAATGGGTCGTTTATATTTACTTTATGCCTCTAATACCTTCAGAACATTTTAGTTTCTTTTAAGGCTGACAAGGAAGAAATATTTTTTTAAACCTAACCATTTTGATTGAAATTCTGTAATATATGTGTTTATACTGATCACATAGATTCACATACACCATAGTTATGTATATGCAGAGAATACAAATCTTAAGTTTGGTACTTTTTGTATTAAGCTTTTAGATCACCAAAACCTCTGCAGTGACATTTGGATGGAATATATGGTAGTTAAAGGTCTGCCTTTAATCGCTAACATATTATCGCATAGTAATATCAAATCAGTACAAGTAGCAGCTTTATGTGTCATGAGATCATTGGCAGCAAATGGTAAATTATGTATATTAATTGTAGACCAGTGTATGCAACCAATAATGGACAATGCCTATTTGAGTAAAGAACATAAGGTGAGTTGTGCCTTACCAGTATGTATGACCTCCACAATTTGCCTTACCAGTATGTATGACCTCCACAAGTTGCCTTACCAGTATGTATGACCTCCACAATTTGCCTTACCAGTATGTATGACCTCCACAAGTTGCCTTACCAGTATGTATGACCTCCACAAGTTGCCTTACCAGTATGTATGACCTCCACAATTTGCCTTACCAGTATGTATGACCTCCACAAGTTGCCTTACCAGTATGTATGACCTCCACAATTTGCCTTACCAGTATGTATGACCTCCACAATTTGCCTTACCAGTATGTATGACCTCCACAATTTGCCTTACCAGTATGTAT